AGAAGGGAACCAACCTTATGGGTTTAAAGTTTAAGGTTTGTGGCTGTGGGTTTGGGGTTTTCAGCCCTTTTGGGCTTGGGCAGCGGAACGGAGCAGAAGGTCGCGCAACTGCAAAACACTGCCAAGTTGGGGGTCCTGAACCCCGCGTCCCAACCCTCGGAAGGACTTCGGGCCTTAGGGAGTTGGGTAATGTAGGGGCTTAAATGATTAGGGGTTTAGGGTTTAGGGTTTAAGGTTTTATTACCAATATAACATATGGGTGGTTGTAACAAGGAACCCCCCAAAAATAGTATATTCCCCAAAACCCTAATCAAATTGCATTAGGGCCCCTGTGATATGCTGTACTACAAGTTAGGGATTTCTGAATGACGTGCCCAACAACCCAAACCAAGATTCAAGCGAAAGTTTCTGAACATTTCATGACCTCTCAACTTTGACCCTTATGCCTGGCAGGCTGCTTGATAGGCACCTGGCTTTGCTAAACTCACCTGCAGAGCGAGGCGACCCGTGTCAGAACCCCCCACCCACCTCCCAACCGTCATGCGTAAAGACCCAGGAAAAAGACTTGAGACGTGATGTAGCCTAAACCCAACTTCCTCACCCTAAGCCCTAAACCCTACTGTAAACCCTTCCTCCCCTATGTAGGGCTTCGGTTGGTGGCTGCTGTCCTTCTCTGGGCTCGGCAAGAAGAGATCGCCGCAAAGGCACTTCTCAATCTTCGTCCTCGCTTTGAGGGCTTAGGGCATAGGATCTAGAGTTTCGGGTCCAGGAGATAGTATGCCTGAATAGTTAGAGTAGGGTTTTGGGTTTTATCGAAGATAACTCTAACAAACTACCACACCAACATCGTCTAGGTGACTATACAGGCCCCTGCATTACCCTGAAGTCCCCAGCCCTGGAATCATAAACCCAAGCCCCTAAAACCCGAAGCTTCTCGATGCATGGCCCCATGTTTCAATAGGGAAGAAAAAAAGCGCACCTCGTGAAAAATGGTAGACGTCGGGCACTCACGAACTTCAACAACCACAACCTGAAACTGAATTATGGGGGGGGGGATGTGAAAATCTTAAGGCTCCCGAGGATTTTTGGGGTTTAGGAGCTCAACTTTGCAGTGGGCAAGCGGAACTCTCGAGTTTCTGCTCGTTTCATTAAGAGGTACCCTAAACCTGGTTTCGGGGGGTTTAGGGTTTAGGGTTTAGGGTGGGTTGTTGCAGAATATCTACACAGTTTCAATCCGCAATCTCAATTGGTGACCCATCTCCTGGTCTCATCCAGCTCCCATCGGAACACCACCGGGTCGGCCTCGGCTTAGGGCTTAGGGATTCATGATTTAGGGTTCAAGGTTTAGGGTTTAGGGTTTAGGGTTTAGGGGTTAATGATTTAGGGTTCAAGGTTTAGGGTTTAGGGGTTAGGGTTTAGGGATTAATGATTTAGGGTTCAGGGTTTAGGGATGTTATAGTGGGGACCTAGCGAGAAGAAGGCCAAACGTCTCCGAGTGGCACGCTCCTCCTCGGAAACCCAGTGGTCTTTGCGCAGCTCCGCCAAGGACTCGTCCAAAGCCTCAATCGTGGACACGACATGTTGCAGGCACGCAGGAGCTGATTGCGCAGAAGTCGACAGATCATGGCTAAGCCATGCTGGCACTCCTGAAAGCTTTCTGGTGGTCCCTGTGCTTGCAACGGTTGGCAAACCTTGCTTGCACGCTCTCGACATGAAAAGCTTACGTGAACTCTTGGATCTCTTCTGGACTGCGATTCGGTTGAACATCACACCGTACGCACCATCCGGCACATGCTATCGCTTCCGTGCCAACTCATGCGTAATGCCTGCCTCCGGAGCCAACAGAAACCCATATCAGCACCAGGCCAGAACAACCTCTGCAACCAAGGGGCATGGTCCTTAACCTCAACTTCCGCTGCTGAGGATTCCTTGGGTTGGTTCTTCTTCTTGATCTGGTCCAAAGCCTTCGATCCCTGCAGCAGCGGAAATTGGCGCATCCCACTGGCACCGAGTACTAAGCATCGGCACGCATGCACCAAACCAGAGAGGAGAGAGAGAGAGAGAGAGAAACAAAACAATCTACGAGCCCTACAAACCCCAAAAAAAACTCAGAGCCAAACAGCAACATCGGCCAAACCCAAAAGCCCCTCACGGAACCCGCAGTCAGGTGCAAGAGGGGCCTTGAAATGCCGTTTCCAGTATTCTTCCATCTCCGCCTGAACCTTTCCTTGAGTTGGGCAGTTCTCTAAATTCGGGTCCCTTTTTGGGTCCCCAATATAGTACGGCACCCTTACAGAAGGACCCTAACAGGGACCCTAATTTAGAGAACTACCCTGTTGCATGCAACTTGTAAGGTTCGGAGATTTTGGGGTTTAGTTTGGGTAGAATGACATCACTGCGTTATAAATGTTTATGGTTGCAGGGGTCGTGGGCTCAGTGTCACCACAACAGCAGCAGCAGCAGCAGCAGCAGCAGCACCACCACCACCACCACCACCGCCACCAACAACAACAACAACAACAACAACAACAACAACAACTACAACAACAACTACTACTACTACTACTACTACTACTACTACTTCTACTACTACCAGTTAATTAAATACCAAGGCTGCAATACTGGTAAATAATTAATTGTTTTTACGATGTGCAACAACTAGCCTTTTCTTTGGTGTTTGACTGCTGATTACCACCGCGCAAACTAAATCATAGGTATTGGTTGTATGCTATCTCAAGATCGGCCTGCTGCTTGCAAATTTATGCCAAAGACTCCCCGCGTTCCGTAGTATTTGATCTCGTTGTAGGCCTGGGCACAATATCGCAGGGACAAACAAACAAAGGCACCCGCATGAACTTCAAGCAGATCCCCTCCTATATTGCAAACAAACATGCATCCGCATGCGACATCTCGCAAGTGTAGCTGCAATATTGTGGTTTCCACTTCAAGCCGAATGGATGCGAATTTCAACGGAAATCGACAAGTTCAGCGGAGTAAGTGTTACGGGCATTATGGAGACATGATGGCATGAAACCCAAAACCCCAAAACCTTTTTTTTTCAGCAGGCTTGTTGGTTCTCGCCTGGACAAGCTGTTCATGTTCGCAAACCCTAAAACTTAAACCCTAAACTCCAAACCGATGGTTTGGGCAAAGAATTACTTCCTCCTCTACGCAAGCCAACTCAGTGGCCCGGTGACGAGTATGACCCCAGGAACAAACAACTCTGACATGAGGGCTTATAGGGTTTAGGGTT